AGTACTTTTGTTTCTCTTTTCGAGTATTTTTGTTGGTTTTAGGGGTTGGCCTAAGTTTTTGTTGGTTTTATTTGATGTTGTATAGATTCTGAGCATTTTCTGATTTTGTAGGTATTTCCTCTCTTAGCAGTAAGGTTCAGTTCATGTCAATTTAGCCTCTTATGTGCTTTGTTCCCTGCTTGTGCGATGTTAATTGTTAGATCTGAGAACATGTGGTTTCATATGCTCTGGTGTTGAATTGGTTCCATGTATTTCATGTAGAATATGAAAGCCACTTGATGTTTAATTAATTGTAGTATTAGTATGCAGACTACTCTTTCTCTTTGTTGTTTATCTGTTGAAGTAGGGTAGTTCCATTGTTGTCTATGTATGAGTGAGGAAGAATCTCATTTAAATATGAACCAAATTTTGGTATTTGATATTACTACAGCATGACCTGCCTACTCATTGACCACATTCAGTATGATCTAATCTCAAAAAGCAATTCTCTCTACAGTATTTCATTATAATGTATCAGACTTTCATTATAATTATGTTTGTACAGATTTCTTACACTCAACAAACATGACAGTGGAAGGCAGCACATATACAATGGTTGGAGTAGTGAGTTAATCCCTTTCTTCTAGCAAATTTAAAATTGAGCTTCTTCCTTTTGAGGATCTGATTGGAGCATAATGTTTACTTAAGCTGTGTTTCTGTTCTTCTAATCCTTGCTTCTAGCTTGGTTAATTAGGTTGGATATCATTGTTTGTCTATGAATTCATTGGCTGATATCAATGTTTAGCTGGTGGCACATATACATGAGAGAATTATTATTTATATTTAGTTATATGATTAGTTTAGTCTTTTTGATATGATGGCTTAACGTTATAGCCAATTTTTCTTCAAGTTGGGAATGAGTTAGATATTAATACTCTCTTTCCTTATGATAGTGGGTATAGGTGTATTAAGAACTGGATCTCTCCATTACTGTGGCAAAGAAGAAGGTTGCACGGTTGCAGCATATTTAGAGGGGAATAGCAACAAACTGGACAAGGCCTGCAACAGAATTGGAAAATTTTGCCGTAGTAGTCTGTCCAGTTTCTTGGCTCTATAATTTTCTCCATAACATCATCAACTTGTACTACTTGGATTAAATCATTAGGATTCTTTTATATTTTAGATTTCTTCTGTAGTTATTTGGATAGTATGTATTGTTAAAAACCGAACAAAAAAATTAGGGTTACCGATCTGGCTGAGTCGCGGACTAGGTCGCTCTCTTTAAGACATTCGCGGCACTGCCTCGTATTGCGCACAACAGACTATCAGCCGGTCGCCTCCAGGATAAAACAGTCATTCTAATTTTCTTGCTCATCGGTTTTGTGCGAAAAACCGGAGCTCTATGAAATCACTCTCTCTCGTGTTTCTGCTCTTCTGAGGTATGTTTAGAGGATCTGGGTAGTCTCCTATTTATAGGAGCGGAAAACCCGGAATATTCCCTCTTTCTTTGGGAATAAGTCACATTTTAATTAGGGAGATAATTACTCCCATAATTAAAATATAATTTATTAAGATAATTATTCCTAATTATCTCCATAATATTCCTTTTATTAATTATCCATCTTAATTTCGTATTATGGGGAAAATAATGGATAATTAATTAGGAATTTCATTATAGCTTTTCAAAGCTATTCATCCCAACAATCCCCCACTTGAATAGTTTGAAACTATCTCTGAGCATCAACAGTTCCATAAGATCGGGCATAAGCTAAGGTATCGCGAAGATTTAAACCTTTGCGTAGTGGTTACGCTTCTGATTCATAAGGGTGACTCGTAGTCTTGAACCCTATCTCAGACAATGTAGCACACCGGATCTTTTCATTGAGTGATATTCTCTCATAGGCCGTGCGTTTATGGCCATGCACGTTATCCCGGTTTAGTGAACGCTCTAGCAACTTTGTGCCTCCAAAGTTCCATAGGGAGCGGCCCCACTCCCACATTCACATAGGTGAGTCTATCAGAAGTACCCCCAAAGTAAAGTACTTCACTCCACATAGAGTATAGATCTCATTAAGAGTTTAACTCAACCTCCAAGGCTTTGGGATTCATGCTTCACTATGCATGAACTTTTCTCAATATTACTCATGACTTGTTATTACCCATTGAACCCGTTTCTTGGGATCTCCAGTCTATCGGGTCGGGTTACCATCACTTGTAATCCATGGTTCGGTAGGCATAAGTCTCATACCTTCGTGGTATTTTGGACTTTTCTCTCTAGATAATCCTTTCGTCAAACGATCAACTAGATTCTGTTAGGATCTTATATGATCCACCCTCATTGCTTCTATCATTAGGAGTTCTCTTACAGTACTGTGCTTACGACGAATTTGTCGTCACTTTTCATTCTAGAACCGGTTCCCTTCTTTAGTAATAGCTGCGGTGCTATCACAATGAATAAACTACCGGAGGGATCGGTCTTTCCCATGAGGGAATCTATAGTAATGATCCTCTCAATCAACTTTTCTCTTTACTAGTCATTGCTAGCTCTATCATTTCTAATTTCTTAGTTGTTTGAGCCAGGATCGTTTACTTCTTAGAATTCCAAGACACAACACTTCCAGTGATGTTTAAAACATGCCCACTAGATGCCTTGGAATCTTCTATAGGGTATTCTCATCCGCATCAATGTACCCTACCAATACAGCCATAAATCGTTGATAACTTATATCAAGGTCTACTGTTCTTAATGTGTCTCATGACCCTTTCAATAGCATTTCAATGCTTCATAATAGGACAATCAAAAAGCCTGCCAAGTACCCCCCACTAAATCGGGTCTCATGTTTATCAGCTGCCTCTCGCAGACTGCAAATGCTAGTATATTCTAACTTTCTTACACCGTCTTAGGTGTTCTTTAAATATTTATACTAGCATCATCAAACATGTATGCAGGTGTACATCTTGTATTTTCCTAGTTATTAGGATCTCTAAGCATAACATTTGTTCCAAACAGATCCTTCACATTCAAAATTCTCAACCATCATGGTTTTTCAATATTGACATCACGAGTCTTTGTACCAAAGATCGACGTGTCATTCATAATGCAAGTGTCATTCTCAAATTTTTACTAAATGCACTTGTCACTTTCACTTTTAAAACCATGAGAGAGAACCAGTTTATTCATGCCATTATCTTAGAGTCTATTTCAAATCTTACAATGATTTGTCTAACTATAGACTCCCTAAGCATGTTCAGGAATAACAACCCTATAGGTTGTCCCATGTAGATTTTCCTATCTAAATCACCATTCACAGAAACATGTTTAACAATCCATCTGACGCACAACACTAGCAATCAGAACATACATGGATGTTATTCTACATATGGTGAATAGACAACAAGAAAATTTACAATTTTTCCTTTTCGCTTAAAGCCTTAGCTATTAGGCGATCCTTATACTCATAAACTAAACCAATAGGTTTCACTTTTCTTTTAAGAATCCATTTATTACCCATGACTTCATTGCCAAGAGGTAATTCTCAAAGATGCCAAATCTTGTTCGATTCTATCGATATATTACCCAATGCTTTTCAACCAAGAGATAACTCTACAAGATTTTAAGTTTTATTAGACTCCAATAATTCCATTTCGTTAATAATGGATTCTCCCACAATTCTGCATCTTTATGGAAGTTCAAACTTCTAGCAGACTTGTAGGATCTTTCTTTCTTAGGGTGTAAATAACAAATTCATAACCAAAATCCTTTCGTGATTTATGGTTCATTTGTCTCTTCTGAGTTCATACTCAGATTCATCACCCCCACTAGTTATCCATGATTTTTAATAGTGGGCAGGTTATCACCCCCACTATTTCTTAATATAAATGGAATCTATTGATATCAATGGTTTTCACAAACTAATGAGTATTTCGTTTCATAGGCTTATGTGTTTTACAATAACTTACACACTCATATGCTCTTCTAGTTATCATGTCACTGATTCTCTAACGCTACCACATGCATGCCACATATCGAATAATCAGTGCAATCATAATGCAACTAGGTATTTCAAACTATTTCAAATAACTAGTTAGACAATTAGAGCACTCTAAAGAGCAATAAATTATTTATTGTCTTTTCCATCAAGTTTACCCATATCAACATAAATCAGATCTATTGATTCTGATTCTCTAACCACATATTTTATGGGTCATTTTGCTTGGATACAATTTTTATTTATTTATTTATCTCAAGCGTTCGAGAATAATATGGGAATGTGACTTTAGATATTCTAATTCTTTACAAGGACACACACGTCCCAAAAAAAGAATCCATCTTAGATCGTCTATCACAGACATGCCTTGGGGCGCTAGTATCCAACAACCATTCCCCAGAGTTACCATTAAGGCTAACCTCTGCGATCACCTAAGCGATTATTATTGCCAAATCCTCTTCTTTAATCAAGTTAACACAATACTATGTTAAATTTGCTCTAACATTTTCGTGTCATATGACCTAGTTTTTCTCAAATTTAATTGAGAAACATAGCGTCATTCTTAGAGAATTGTGTGACAATTTTATGGTTACCACGATGGGTACCATTCTAATTGGTGTGGATCTGGTTCAGCTTGCTGCTCTCATTCTTGAAACTTTAATGTTTCACAGCAACCTAAGTGGTTCGTGTAGTACTGATAATAGTACTTCTTATAATATCGTTATTATGGGCAGTAAACCCATTCTATTCCCATATATTCGTCACATATATGCATGCATTTAAACAAAATTATTCTACTCCACAACATGTATTCAATTGATATTCTAATCATCGAGGTAATACACCTCAATGTCGACATATACATGCATCTAAATTGCTTTCTAGCATTCACAATTTCATGCAGAAATTCATATGAAATTGATTCTAGTTAATAATTAATTAATGACTCAGAGGAAGGTTTCAGCTCTTACCACATTTCCGAGAAACCTCAGCCTTTTGAATTTGTAGTGAATAGCAATTCTTTGAACTGGAGAAATAAAGGTGCCCGTTCCAGCATTTTGGAAAGCAATTCTTCCATCCTTCCCATGACCTATCATGCAGCCACCGAAGAAAGCGGCCTGGACCAGCCCGACCTTGTACTTCTCCCCACACACCAGCCCCCACTCGCCCACCGTCGAGCTGTCCGGGCCCCTGGCCCACTCCCACGACCCGGGTTCCAGCCCAGAAACCCCTCCTTTCGGGTCGCACGCGCCGGCGCCGCCCAGGCAGCGGAAGTCGGTCTCCTAGTGAGGACGAAGTGGCGGAGCTGCCACCGCCCGAACTCGCCGCAGTACTTCTGTAGTGGGCTCCGCGGAGACAGCAGTCTTCCAGAAGAAGCGCTCTTGGAAGAAGGTCCTGCCATGTACAGCGAGCCTCTGGTCACCATCCAAGCGGTGAACGAACTCAAAGTTTCGTCTTTGGGGGTTGTATTCCAACACATCGGGGAAAGACGTGATGGGCGGCAGGGGGATTTGAGAATCCGGTGAGAGGGTTGAGTAGGAAGATGGAAGGGATTTGGTGGACCATGAATAACCATCCAAACGCAGACCCCCGGCATATAACAACACTAGGGTTCCGCCGCCGCCGTGGATGTGGTGAAATTTCTCGTGCTGCTGCAATGAGCAACGGCGTCGATTCCCCAAGCCTTCCCAGCTGCTCCAATTCCGGATCAGCATCACCCATGTCGCTAGCTGCTGGAGAATGTCTCTTTTGGCTGATAGGATGGAATTGAGGGGGCAGTAGGAGCTTTTCCCCCCGAGGCGTTCGACCTTTCTTCCTGCGGCCATACCGCAGCTGGTGATTTCTTTCTCCGACCAGATTGTTGTTTCCCTCTGACTACTTGCTTCAACAAAAGCTAGCAGTAACAATTATTGATAAATAAAATCCCAAATCTCACGCTTTTACCAATATATAAAATTGTAAGAAATAAGAATGGACAAGCATTCTTTCATATACGTGGAAAAGCTTTGCAGGAATCGCGAGCTTCCCTTTTGGCGACTGGCCGGTACGAGAAGAGAGCTACGTCGATCGAAGCTTGCATCGAGTGGCGGGATGAGACGAATTGAACCCGGATGCGGTAATTCAATTGAATCTGTTCGGTAGATATAACAGCAACCGAACGTCTTAAAATTGTTAAAAACCGAACAGAAAAATTAGGGTTACCGATCTGGCTGAGTCGCGAACTAGGTCGCTCTCTTTAAAACGTTCGCGGCACTGCCTCGTATTGCGCACAGCAGACTATCAGCAGGTCGCCTCCAGGATAAAACAACCATTCTAATTTTCTTGCTCATCGGTTTGTGCGAAAAAACCGGAGCTCTATGAATTCACTCTCTCTCGTGTTTCTGCTCTTCTGAGGTGTGTTTAGAGGATCTGGGTAGTCTCCTATTTATAGGAGCAGAAAACCCGGAATATTCCCTCTTTCTTTGGAAATAAGTCACATTTTAATTAGGGAGATAATTACTCCCATAATTAAAATATAATTTATTAAGATAATTATTTTTAATTATCTCCATAATATTCCTTTTATTAATTATCCATCTTAATTTCGTATTATGGGGAAAATACTGGATAATTAATTAGGAATTTCATTATAGCTTTTCAAAACTATTCATCCCAACATGTATTTGTACTTATGTTTTATAATCATTATGTATTTAAAAAAATGTTTCCTCATTATATATGTCCAAAAGTATAGTAAAACCGTGCGCTTGCTTGCTTCCCGAGGGAGAGACACAGTCACACAGAGGCAGTTTCTAACTGTTTTTTCACACATAATCGACAATTGGCACAAGCTCAATATGCCAACAAATGAAACGGCCCACAAAAGTTCTCTTCTTTGGCCAATTACAATTGCAGGTCGAGAATTTTGGTACTTTGTAGCTTATGATTTTGCTTGGAGGAACTAAGGAGTAAAGGGTTTGAGCCATATGCATATAAATGGGACAAGACTCATATTGCTAATCAGCTGCGGGAGTTGTATAGGAATCTGGGGAACGACGAAGAATCAAGCAGTGAGAGTGATCATGTATTCGTAGCTGGGGCCTGGGAGAATTGTTGCACGTAGGGCTTTCGGGAAGCTTTGCTTTTCTGACACTGAGAGATGACTCTGGCACGATTTATGTGTGTTCATCCAAATATATCATATATATATCAAATATACAATAAAATTTTAACCCATTAAAATATAAATAAATGGATTAACATAAAATGCTAATAAACAAAATAAAATTCGACCAATGGGTGGGTAAAAGCTAGTTATAAAATATGATTGCATTGATCATTAACCAACGTTGAAGGAGAAAACGTTCGAGGTGGGATATGAATTAGTGTGGTAAATTAAACCTCCCATGTGTGGTTTTGAACTATACAACATGCATGCTGTGCCCCGACAATTTCAACCAATGTATTGTAATAAAGAATATTATTGCTGATGTTTAACTTGATTAACAATACCAAAATTTAAAAATTGAAACAAATGGAGTGGTGGTAGACTAATGGAACATTTTTCTTACTTATGGAAAATCCAATTTTTGGGTATTGTTCAAATTCCATTTATTATGAGTAATTCTATTTTTGGAGAATTTATATCTAATTTTTTATTTTGGGTCTACATTGAATACAATGAATTAGGTAGGGGTGGGATTCGGTTTTCCGGTTAACGGTTTAACCGGTGATAATTGTAATCGATGATCCACCCATATCAATCAAAGACTCACTATGGTTTGGGTTTTTGCGGGTTGGTCTATGTCAAGCCACACATTAACCACCCACATGCCAACCCCTGTTAGTGAGATAAATAATCTAACAAATATCTATGAATTATCAAAAACCAACTCGTAAGTCGATTCACTCATAAGTCGGTGGTCGAGATGGCTCGCTAGCCGCATGTCTAGCCAACTCTTAACTCAAAACGAGCTAACTCACAAATTGAACTCAACAAGCCACATAATTGAGCTGGCTCGCGATTCTTGCGAGCCAGACAAGGTTTAGCAAAAAATCGGCTCGTTAATAGATGAGTTGAGTATCAAACAAGATTATTTTGAACAGAATGCCAAGCCACTCGTGAGCAATTTGGCTCATTTGCAGCCCTAAAGGAAGTTAATTAGATTATTGGTACTTTTTTTGTATGTACAATCATCTATACTCAACTGGACCCATTTGAGTTAGACCAAATTAAAACATGACTCGACTCTATTCAGGTCCGACCCAATACTCATATGAATAATGACAATTGAATCAAATTAAGTAGAGTAGTAGACTAATTCCAACCTAACTTGTTATAACTGAGCTGTTCAATTAGTATGATATTGTCCGCTTTGGGTCAAGCCCGCACGGTTTTACTCTTGGATATCCTTCTCAAAAGGCCCTGTACTAATGAGCTTGGTGGACACTAATAGACAAGGATTTCTACCCTTGTATTACCGATGTGGTACTTGGATTGTCCCATAACAATCCTCCCCTCAAGACAATGACCAAGAACTTCGTGTCCTCTACTCAGCAATTATCTTGATCCGCTAGACGCCTTGTATCGATGGGCTTCTCGGTACAAGGACTTTACCTAACGCAGAACTCTCTTTGATCTACTTCACAAATGCGGAACTCTCTTTGATCCGCCAAGCCCAGGATCTGATACCACATGTCAAACCGGGGTGCTCAATTAGTACGATATTGTCCGCTTTGTGTCAACCCCGCACGGTTTTGCTCTTTGGTATCCTCCCCAAAATGTGTCGTACTAATGGGTTTGGTGGACATTTATATACAAGAGTTACTTCCCTTGTATTACCGATGTGTTACTTGGATTGTCCCATAACATAATGAGTAACAAAAAAAATAACCCTACATCCGGCATCCCCTTCGAATAATGTTTGCAGTGAACTTATCATACTTAAAACCTAACCCTATGGCTAATTGACAAGCATTGTAGGTATCGGAAATTAGCATTTATTAGTTACTTGGTTTATTCGGAAGAAGATAGCGTGGTCAAAACGGTGAACATTGGCATTGGACAATGTTATGCAAGATCAGCAGTGACACTGTTGTAGGCACGGATCTTTGGCATCCAAGTTAACGTAACAAAATAGAGTTTAGAAAGAGATTTAGATTGGTTGAGTGGAGAATTGGGCACAATTGAGTGATTTAGAATTGAGATTAGGGTTCTTGGAAGAGACTAGAGAGAAGAGAGATAGTTCTGACGATATTTTGATTAGGTTTTTCATTTATATCCTTAATGATAGAACTAAAGTACATTATATAGACACTAACCAAAAACCCTAATCAATTAAACCTAATAAAATACTAAACTAACCTTTAACCCCTAATCGTACCTGTAACAATCCACCCGTCTTGAAATCAACCTGACCTTAAGGTTGAAGCCAAAAATCCAACCCTGCATAAACTAAGTAATAATGCTACTACTTCTATCTAGGCCTGTCGATTCGGATCGGCTCGGGTAACCGAACCCGAAAACCGCAAAAACCGAAAAACCGAAACCGACTCCCACAAACCCGAAACCGAAACCGGACCTGTGTTTTGTGGGTTGCGGGTTCAGAAACCCGAAAAGAGCACTGGTGGTTTGGGTTCGGTTCGGGTGAACTCGAAACCGAATCGGGTTTAGTTTTTTTTTATACTTTTGTAATTTAAATTTTATATTCTTATTATTTGTACATTCTTAAACACAAAACATACTATTTTATTCTTATTAGTTAATTATTAAAATATTATTCTTATTATTTGTACATTCTTAAACATATTTTTGTTTGTACAAAAAATTTTATTCTTATTATTTGTACATTCTTAAACATAAAACATACTATTTTATTCTTATTAGTTAATTATTAAAATATTATTCTTATTATTTGTACATTCCTAAACATATTTTTGTTTATACAAACAATTTTATTCTTATTATTTGTACATTCTTAAACATAAAACATACTATTTTATTCTTATTAGTTAAATATAAAATATTATTCTTATTATTTGTACATTCTTTTGTTTGTACAAACAATTTTATTCTTATTAGTTAATTATTAAAATATTTAATTTTATGTATTCTATAACTATAGACATACTATTATAATTTTATGTATTGCTATGTTAAGTAATACAACCTTTTGGGCCATTTAATTGTGGATTTTCATATAATTAAATGTTTTAGAAATACCATAGGTCCAAAATTGAAGGTACTATCATATGCAAAAAAATGTTTGGTGTTTGGCACAAAATTATAAATAATTTTGTTCAACATAAAATACCGACAATCATAGATGAGATTATCTTCAACTCGTAATTAAACACATTAGTTTTACAATTCTCAAATGATAACATCCAAGTAAAATAAAAATTCATCCACCATACAAGATAAATACTACTACCATTATCACTCCTCATCAGGCTCTACATCTACATAAGTCTCATCATTCTCATCGGAATTGTTGTCGACATAGTCTTCTTCCACTTGTGACATAGTAGGACTCGAGACCAAAACATGGGTAGCAGGAGAGCTTCCACTAGGTCCTGCACTAGAGCTTCAACTAGGTCCTGCAGGTGCACTTGCACTCCGAGCTTGAAAAGCTTCATATACTGGATAACATAAACAATAACAAATTGTTTGAATATGACTTGATCAAGATAACAAATATAATAATAAAGAGAAAGATTAAATTCTTACCATTTTGAAATACCACTTCATCACCCTCATCTTCTCCATCAGCCACCAACTCGGAGTCTGAAGATCTTATCCAATCTTCACAACAAATCAACGCCTCCACAACTTCAGGGGATAAGGAGGTCCTAAACGAATCTAAAACTCGACCTCCTGTGCTGAATGCCGACTCAGAAGCAACAGTGGAAATAGGAACAGCAAGAATATCCCTAGC